AAAAGTTTTAGGAAATCTTCTTATCTTTCATATGAGATAAGGATAAGTATGATAGGAGTAGTATAACTCATGATACACTGTTGTATGTGAAAGATGTCATTTCACAATAAGTGATTTGGTTAAGTTGAAAGTTGTTTTAGGTGCTTAAGTTGATTTATGTTGTTTATTTGTATAATTTGGCATAATAGATGAATTCTAAACATGTTGGTTGATTTGTATTATGTGTTGAATATTTTGTATGCTAATTGAAGTTGTTATAAGGTTGTAAAGTTGTTAAGTTGTCTGATGAAAATGAGTTGAGAAGTTGTTGGATTAAGTTGTTTATATGTTGTATATTTTATGAAACTAAATTGTTTACATGAGATAGAGTAACATTTTTTTATTTCAATATTATTCTTTTCAATTATTTTCAAAATCAAAGTCTCATATCGAGTAAAAAAAATGTCACATAGGTTATTTTGCAACATTTTTTTTTAAAATATTACTATAGATAAGTAACATTTTTTTATCTCAACATTATTCTTTCTACTTGTTTTTAAAATTAAAGTCTCACATTGAGTAAAAAATTATATTTCTCTCATCTTTAATTGTTATCCATAATTAAAATCTCACATCGAATAAAGGAATGATTCACAAAGAATATATATAATCATATAATTATACTTAAGATAAATGAACTTTGATATTTGATATATAATTAGTAGTGACTAATTAAAAATGTCTTTGATCTTCTCTTAAAGAACTCTTAGAAGTTTAGGAAACATAAAAATATAATAATTGATAAAAATATTTAAATTAAAATTAATTATCATTTTATAAAGTTAACAAAAATTTAGTAACGTTAATAAAAAGATACCACTTTAATAATATTTAAAAAAAATGTTATTTAATTATATAAAAATGATATTAAATTTTTTTAATAATATGATAATATTATTAATGACATTTATATATAATTAGATAATATTTTTTAAATATTACTAAAAAAATTCTTTATGTTATAAGGAACGAACAGTGAGGGTTGTGCAATGAGTTTTAAAATAATTGTAGCGGTGGGTCGTGGTGGGTCACCTAAGATAACCGCTGTTAGTGGCGCAATTTGAGCAGCCAATTACTTTTTTAAAAAAATTCTCGTGCTGCTCCCGCCATTTCAGCTTTACACCTTTATTTCTCCTTTTCATATTCGCCAGGCTATCATCTTACACATTGTTTGAGTAAAAAACCTAGAAAAATGTTACTAATATATTCAATGGAAAGTGATTCATGGGAACTCGCATATTAACATACATTTTGAGAAAAAGAGATAAAAAGAAAGAGAAGTGTTGATATGATAAGTGGAATATGACGTGATAAGAAAATAGACAGAGAGAAGTGATGATTGTCAAATAGGTGTTTGTTTTTGAAATGCTTATATATAATTACTCTATATTTAATGAAAAATGATGTATGAAAGTTCATATGCTAAGTGCTAACAAACATCCTTGGATAGAAGAAAAAAAAAATATCTATGAGAATCCATATGCTAGTAGACATCCATGAAGAGAAAGAGATAAAAATGTAGATAAGTGATAAGAAGACCAACTTATCATATCTTTTAAAAATTAAAAAAAAAATCATCCTTTTAATATATTCTTACTTGAAATTATTTTCTTAGTTAGAGGAGTTCTAAAAATTAGACTCGAGATCTTTTTAAGATGTATTTGAACAAAACTCAATCTGATGACTTATAACTATATTATTCTAAGACTAAATTTTTGAAAAAAAAAATATATTAATAATAAAAATATTTAATAGATAATATTTTGTATAATATAATATTATATTTATAAAATTTTTCTTTATTTTAAAATACATATCATAAAATATACTTTAATTTAATAAATTTTATACTCTATTCACAATTTAATTGTATAGAAACAAAGATTCATATGATACAATAACAGATCAAATGAACCTAATTTTGTTCTTAATTTTTCAAGTCTTGATTAAATCGGATTCATATTAAGATAACTCACTCCATCAAATTTTGAACCAAATAAAAATATAGATTAACTCATCTTAACTTATCTCATATTCATCCCTAAGTAAAATGATGTAATAAGAATCAGAGAAAAAAAATATATATATAGTCTGCTATCAAATAGATGTTTGCATTATTGAAAGTGTCCATGCATATATAACACTACTCACTTCTATACGACTCTCTCACACTACTAAGTACAATAGTCATTTATATACTTTTCTCACACAATAATAATCTTCTCAATTATTTTATTTTATTTTTAAAAATTAAAAAATACGTACGGAGTACCTTCTTCTTCCTAATACATATAATATAATTTTCCAAGGTTACGTTGCATGCTCCGGTAAGTTTATTTCTATATATCCTGCATTTTTATTTGTTGGTCATTACTTTCTTATTTAAATGTTTTCACTGTATTTTGCCTTTTTCATTAGCTGTAAAAAAATCTGTTCGTGCATGTGACAGGCCACTACATCTAATAATTTTATATAGAAATGATTAATGTAACAAAATAATATAGATACAGTGTTAAAAAAATATTGATATAAACTTTTCAAAGCATTCTTATGAAATATATATATA